ATACAAAAACGAAAACCCAAGGAACACTGTCAATCAACACTGTGAAAAGTTTAGCGCCGGGGAGCTGTAATTCAGTGGTAGAATGTGTATTCAGCATGTGCAATGCACAGCACCAAATGACACTGAAGAAAAAAAGAGTTTGAAATTTGTCCAAGTCATTCCACCCATGTGAAGTTCAAACAGAGGTTTATCTAGGGCGTCTGGGGGAGATGCTGGTTCCTGGGGTGGTGACTGCTGATAACGTTTTCACACCTCATCTGAGTGTTGGCTACATGGATATGTTTACTTCACAGAAATTCACAGTGGCCAAGGCAGGAGGACTGCAGGTCTGAAACCCACCTGGATTACAGAACAAGACTGTCCCAAGTCAACAAACGAACAAGAATTTAAATTAATTATCTGAGTGGCACATCAGTTTAAACACACTATAAAATCAGATACTGTATGAGAACAAAACTTCTTCCCCAATTCTAAATGGAATGGTTCTTTACAGTTGGAGGGAGGGAGGTGCCACCACGGAAGAGCACGCAGGGAACGTCAACAGTGGGTGTTCTCTTCACTGAGCACAGGCTATGTATGGGTCTTTGTATGTGCACGGTTCTGCACAATCGTGCTTTCTGTGTACCTTACATATCGCATAACTAATTTTTAAAAGAAAAAACTCTAAAGACTAAGTACAGCTTCATTTTACTTTACATACTGGCAAATACTAGATTATTTCTCTTATATTTACTAAAAGTAAAGAGAAAACTTTTGTTTGTTTTGAAACAGGGTTTCTCTGTGTAGCCCTGGCTGGCATTGGAAAACACTCTGTAAACCAGGCTGGCCTTGAACTCAGAGATCCACCTGCCTCTGCCTCCTAAGTGCTGGGATTAAAGGTGTGTTCCACCATGCCTGGCTAGAAAACTTTTTTTTAAACCAGAGCTGATTTACATACTAGGAAAACTGAAAGAAAGTATACATCATCTTTGGTGGTTCAATTTCTCAAAAAACACTACTTAGAAAATGAATCCTGTTATTTTAGTAGTATATAACTGGTTCCACAGCAAAGTGCCACACATCTGAGAGGATGTAACCCTCTCACTGAGTAAATTACCTCAATTTCCTGTAACTGCTCCTGATTGGTTGTGTACATCTGCTGAAGAGAATCCTCCAACTCGGTGTTCCGATCCAGCAGCGTCTTTCCCAGTTCAGCAGCAAGCTGGAGATCTAGCACAACAAACATCTTAGAATGCGGCAAGTATGAGCTCACATCGACGTTTTACATAACCCAGCTCTTAAAATAAACAAGGCAAGTCCCAACACTCGCGAGGCAGATCCCAGTGGAATGTAGAATGGCCTAGAAGGAACTGTGAGTTCTACTTGAAATTCAGAATTGGGGTCAGCTAGCAGGTGAAGCACTCGTTCATGCACCCTAGTCAGACATAAAGACAGCAGTCTGCTTTAGAGAGATGTGGGCATTAGTTTAGGACTGATCATTCTGTAGCACAGTACTAAAATCATCATTTGGTAATAGACATATTCAAATCCTGACACTGAGATGGATCCTTGAGCCAAAGCACAGGCAGGCCTCTCAGCAGCCTCTAAAATTCCCATCAAGCTGCTGTGAACACAACTGTCAAAGTTTGTTGTCTGGGCTCCCCCCCCCCCCCCCCCGACCCCCGTGGGATGGTCTGTATGTCAAATTACTCTGATTGGTCAATAAATAAAACACTGATTGGCCAGTGGCCAGGCAGGAAGTATAGGCGGGACTAACAGAGAAGAGAAAAGAAAGAACAGGAAGGCAGAGGAGTCACTGCCAGCCGCCACCATGACCAGCAGCATGTGAAGACTCCGGTAAGCCACAAGCCACATGGCAAGGTATAGATTTATGGAAATGGATTAATTTAAGCTATAAGAACAGTTAGCAAGAAGCCTGCCACAGCCATACAGTTTGTAAGCAATATAAGTCTCTGTTTTTACTTGGTTGGGTCTGAGCAGCTGTGGGACTGGCGGGTGAGAGAGATTTGTCCTGACTGTGGGCAAGGCAGGAAAACTCTAGCAACCCCCCCCCCCTCCCCAGATAGGGTTTCTCTGTCTAGCCGTAGCTGTCCTGGAACTCACTCTGTAGACCAGGCTGGCCTTGAACTCACAGAGATCCGCCTGCCTCTGCCTCCCGAGTGCTGGGATTAAAGGGATCCACCACTCTCAGCTATGTCTGGAGTCCTTAATTTTTTTTTTTTAAATCCATGTGTGTCTGCCTATGAGAGTTTATGTACCACTGAAGGTCAGAAGCAGGCATTGGATCCCCTGGAACTGGAGTTACAAGCGGTTGTGAGCTGCTTTGATGTGGGTGCTAAGAACCTAATCCAGGTCCTCCACAAAAGCAGTATATGCTCTTAATGACTGAGCCATCTCTCCAGCCCCCTAGCCTGAAACCTTAAGGCAACTAAGTGTTAATGCAAGAAACAGAGAATACACTAGTAGTAAGCTGCTCGCTTCACAAGTCTGTCTCTCACTCTCTCCCCCGAATTTCTGTCACATCTTTTAAGCAAAACAGCAATATGGTTTTGATCCATACTTCCCTTAAACACAAAGCTAGGCAATTCTTTCTTTCTCCTTTGGGGTGGGTGGGTGGGTGGAGCTTTACTCTGTTGCTCTGGCTGTCCTGGGAAGTCACAGCAATTCTTCTGCCTCAGTTTCCCAAAGGCTAGGATTACAAGTATGAACCCCCACATCTGGCTTCCCTGTTTTCCAGCTTATTTGCCAACTCTCTTCTTTTTTTTTTTTTTTTTTTTTTTTTTTGAGTTGTTTTAACTTTTTTACTATTAGCAACACACTGCTGTAAA